CGTGACCCGGGCATTAGTCCAGCAGGGACTGAAGGTGGTGGGTTGTGCCCGCACCGTTGGCAACATCGAGGTAAGGCCCCGCTGAGCAGCGGGGACGCTCTGGGGGACGTCGTTTCACGGGGTAGGGCTCCGAGTGGGGGAGGGGGAGTAGCCGTAGCCAGGCTGTGACCCTGCTCTCACCAACCTGCTACCCCAGGGCCATTTGCAACGGCCTCGAGGGCAGGGGTGATGGGTGTCTAGGAGCGGGAGTACCTACTTTCTCCCTTAGTCCTGTTTTTTTAAAGAGCCGTTTGCTCCTGGTAGCCTGTGCTGCAGAGTACCAAATCCCTGACCCCTGGCATTCTCTTCCCTTATCCCTGCCGTCATCTGCTCCTACACCAGCAGGTGGAAAGGGGAAGCCAGAGGTCAGGGCCTACTAGCTAGGCTGCCAGGGAGAAGGAAAGAAAGTTGGCTAGCCTTAGTGGCTAGGTTAGTTTCCTCTTGCCCCCAGCCCTCCCCCAGCCACACCAGGTAAAGTGCTAGCCAACCAATGAGCAAGAGGCTAGAGTTCTTGAGTGTTTTGACCCGCGAGTGAGGGGGGTGTCGAGGAGCTCTCCTTTCAGTCATGTCTGAAGCTTCACTCATATGCCATGAGCCTAAGTGGTAACTGGAATATTTACTTATAGATTCTTTTTTTTTTTTTTCTGATTCACTTTTCTAGGTGGGACTGAATAGGTGAAATAGGGCATTGGATATGTAAATCTTGATGGATCCAGAACTCCCTAGTTTTTCTCTTAACATGCTTTTGGGGGCTCCCAGACTTATGAGTAACATCAACTCTGAAAAGATGAGGAGGAGATAGCCATTTGGGGGAAGATGAGAGAGTGTCCCATTATTTGCCCTGGTAGGACCACCTCAGGTGTGTGGGCTAGCCCTTCCCTGCTGGGCTCTGTCCTCACCTTGGCTCAAAGTCCACTGGTAGAAAAGGGGTAAGGAGGCTTTGGGTGGAGGCAAAGGGAGAAGGTGTGCAGGAAGAACTGTCCGCTCCCCAGCTACTGACTAAAGGTACACTTTATGGCCTCCCAGATAATCCCAAGGTCACCTGGCTCCACTATAGCCCCACTTTGCCCCTCCCTTTTCCTGGAGACGCCCAACCCCCTCTTTGAAGCCTAGGGGATTACAGCCAGGGATTGGACAACTGGAGCCCCCTAGGCTTTTTAAAAAATTTATGTGCATTGGTGTTTTGCCTGAATATATGTCTGTGTGAGGGTGTCAGACCCTCTAGAACTGGAGTTGCAGTGAGCTGCTATGTGGGTGATGGGAATTGAACCCTGGTCCTCTGGAAGAGCAGCCAATGCTTTTAACTACTGAGCCATCTCTCCAAACCTCTGTTTTTAGTTTTGATCCCCTAATTCTGAAGCCACTCTTGCCTCCTCTTCCACTTCTCTACCCTAAACTAGCCAGGAAAGGGAGGCCCTGACTCCCAAGGAAATCTCCAGGCAGATTATTTAGCCTGGGGATGGCTCCATGTCATTAAGGGAGAACATCTTTATTGTGTGGGACTGTCCTGATTTCAGGTCATTTTGGAGAGTAGATGGAGATGGCAAAGATGAAGCATGGAGAGGCAGTGATGCGGAGAACATTACACACATACACACACACACACACACACACACACACACCACACGCACACCACACTCACACACACACACACACACACACACACACCCCACGCACACCACACTCACACATACACACACACACACACACACACACCACACACACCACACGCACACCACACTCACACATACACTCACACACACACACACACACACACACACACCACACACACACACCACACACCGCACACACACACACACACACCGCACACTGCACACCACACACACACACACCACACACCGCACACCGCACACGCACACGCACATGCACACGCACACGCACACAGCTTTTCTGTTGGGGACTTTGAGTCTAGAAGGGGGATTCCTGGGTTTCTTACTCACTATCTGTTTTATTTATTGATTAATTTGATGATATTAAAACTAAGTTTGGGCATTGGCATTCTACTGGGAGAAATCCTATTCCCTGAGGTGGTTATGAACAGTAAAATCAGGTGGAAGGGGGCTTCTGAGTCCCAGAGGGATATGACTTTTGAACTCACATAAAGTTAAAGCGTACCAGGGAGGCAGAGGCAGGGGGATCTCTGTGAGTTCGAGGCCAGCCTGGTCTACAGAACAAGTTCCAGGATGGCCAGGGCTACACAGAGAAACCCTGTCTCAAACAAACAAAACCAAAACCAAACAAACAAAAAGGAAGGAAAGAATTTATTTGGTCACCTGATCAAGACTTTTATTCCTAGCTTCACTTGGAAGGAGGAAGGGGCTCCAGGCCAGGGCAGTTGGCCAAATTGGCCTTCCTCTAGGGCAGCCTGCACGCCCCATCCCCCCCCCCACACACACTTACACAGTCACCTTCACAAGGCTCAAGTGCCCAGTCTTTCACTGGCCTCCCACAGCCTGCTTTCTTCCAACTTCTAAATGTCAGCTCCTGCCACACTCAGTGGCTCTGCTTTTTCAGGGCTCTACAGTATGCTGATGAACTTGGATATGCACAGGAAGAATCTAGTGGCAGGGGAACAGAAAAGCAGTGGGGAAAACTTGGGGTAGAGGGGGAGCCAGGAGTTAGAGAGCTTGTAGGGAGGAGAGGGACTTGATTGAGTTCCCCCGAAAGGTGTGTATAGGACTCACCTTTAAATTCTGTGAGCCTTTTGTGAAGGGAAGGTGGCAGTTCAAAGCTGAGCCCTTCTGGGAGGACTGGCTGACACTAAAGACAACATAACTGGGGCTCTAGAGTAACCAGCTCAGGGCCTCTTGGCCCTAATGGAAGAATGATATTGGGCCAAAGGTATATATAGATATATTTCCAGTATTGGGGAAAGAGTAGAAGAGATATCTCCCTCCATTCCCAGGACCCCTGTCCCCTTCTCTCTCTTTAGCGCTGAAGACTTTAGTGTGTATGTGACATTCCTCCTTGATCTGTTCTGCCGTTCCTTTCCTCTGAGGGAGTGTCCCCAACCCCTTAGACTTTGACCAAACAGATCAAGCTTTGGGGATGGGCAGACCCAGCCTCTCTCATACGGCCAAAAGGCTGCGGCCGCTAGAGAGTTCTGAGTAGTGACATGGGAGGGAAGGCTGACCCTGGGTGAGGAGGTGTGGGAGTGAGCAGCTCACCCCAGTTAGACCCCTGTTGGGTTTCATAGGAGCTGGCTGCTGAATGTAAGAGTGCAGGCTACCCCGGGACTTTGATCCCCTACAGATGTGACCTGTCAAATGAGGAGGACATCCTCTCCATGTTCTCGGCTGTCCGCTCTCAGCACAGTGGCGTGGATATCTGCATCAACAATGCCGGCATGGCCCGGCCTGACACCCTGCTCTCAGGCAGCACCAGCGGTTGGAAGGACATGTTCAATGTAAGGGTTCCAGAACTGGGGCAGGAGGCTGGGTGATAAGAGGAGAGTGGGCACCAGGGCTGAAAAGGCAGAGGGCTCCTGGGGACAGGACTCAAGTAAGAGGGAGCATCAGTTTCCTACTGGGGCATTTTGATTTTCCACTCACTACTGTAGCACAAGGATAGTGAGTGGATAAACATCTTTTTAGTCCCTGGTAATTCTAAACTCTAGACTGGTTGTGATGGGAGAAAGATTATGGGAGAGAGAACTATAGTTTGTTGAATGTCCCTGCCTGTTCTGGGTACCTGGGGCCATGGTCTTAGGGGAAGAAAAGTGACAGAGATAAGAGGTTATGTTTACACCTGGACCTGTGTGACTCCGGCAAGTTGATGACAGCCTCGGAATTTCAGTACTGTCACATTTAGTTGGGATGAACATACCTACATCATCAGTATTACAACCTCCACTGTCCCCAAGTATGGTCTACAGAACACATGGTCTTGTAAAGGGGTGGCCCTTGCTCAAATTCACTGCATCATGGGCAGATCTTTGATTTCTTTTCGAGAAATGGAGACTCTGAATTACACTTTAGAGAATGTACAGGCCAGGGGTGGTGAGATGGCTCAGTGGGCAAAGATGCTTACTGTCAAGATCCAGGATCCATATGGTGAGAGCAGAGCAGAGAGTCAACTCCTATAAATCATCCTTTGACCTCCACATTAGCACTGCGGCACGAACACACACACACACACACACACACACACACACACACACACTAAATGATGTAATAAGAGACTGTACAGGCCAAACACAGCTGAGGACCTGTGTTTCCAACTTCTGAGCAGCATTATGGGGTGACATTAGGGTGTGAAAATATTTGAGAGGCTGAAAGCAATGTCACAGCCCTGTCTACATCTGGTATCCGTAGCTTAGTACTAATAGGTATTTGGAAGTGAAACAATGAACAATGAGATTGCAGACTTGTCCTTAGTTTTCTGCATCAGAATCAGCCCTCCTGTGCAGAGGCGCATGTCTAAACCTGGACCTCAGCTTGCCCATCTGTAAAATGAGGGGCTCCTAAGTCCCCAAGGCCCACTTGTCTTGAATATTACCTAAATCCATTAGGCCCATCCTAGTAGGTCCTAGACCCAGGAGGCTTCTTCCACCATGCTCCTAAGCTGTTCATTTATCTTCCATATGCCCCCAAATCCCACCCTGTTAAGAGGACCAGAAATAGGCTGCACCCTTTCTGCATCCTAATACCCAAGTGTTACTGCTACCACAAGCACTGAGGCAGGTTTTCACTGAGGGCATTCTGTCCTGATGCCTGGGTGACACTTGATAAAGCAAATCAGCTAATTGCCAGCTGTCCCTCTCTGGATAAGAGAGAGACAAGAGGGCCCGATGACAGCTTTATCGCTGCTGGCCTCTCTGGCAAGGCTAATGGGTGGAGTGGACAGCAGACAGACGATCCATAGCAGATAGCTCCTCAGACCTCTGCTCTATGAAGGGTGGGGACTTCATAGAGGTCACCTCTCCCACTCATGGGCTTGGTGCTGGGGGATAGGTTAAATGAGTCCCCTCCACACATGATTGATAGGGATTACCAGGGAGCAGGGTGACTGAGGAGGGCAGAGAGAGAGGAGATGGGTTCTATGTGTGAGGAAAAAGATTTAGGCCATTTCAGGATGGTTTTCAATCTGTTTAGGTGGGAGCAGGTCCAGACACTGTCCCTGAGAAGGGTGACTGGTTTCTTGAGACAGAGGCTGAGATGGCTGGCAGTGTCCTGGGCTTGGGTGGGAAGTTTATTCCTACAGGGACTCAGCCAGGAAGAGCTGCCTCTGCTGTCATGTGGGGGTGGCAGCTGTGAGGAGTGGGACCCTCCACAGAGAAGGCATACCACTCCCTTCCCCTGGTGCTCTGCAGTTCCATCACCTGTTCAGTTGGGCCCAAGCTGGAGACACTCCATTGCCTTCCCTGGCCCACAGGTGAACGTACTGGCCCTCAGCATCTGCACTCGGGAAGCTTATCAGTCCATGAAGGAGCGGAATGTGGATGACGGACATATCATTAACATCAACAGGTGAGGCCAGGCGGCCAATCTGCCGCAGCTCGCTTAACCTCCAGAAGCAGCTCACTTAACCTCTAGACAGCAGTTTCTTTGGTAGTGAGATAGGTATTTAATATCCAAGTGGTATGATCCTGATGAAGGGAAGTGCCTGCTTCTGGTCATCTAGAGTGGACAACTTAGCCCTGGCCCTCCATAGCCAATGCCTGGAACTCTCCAGGGACTGAGTACCATTTCCTCAGACCCAGGGATAAACCTTTCTTGTGGTCCAATGAGACTGCGCAGGCTTTAGCATAGATGAGCCCATTGTCTGTTGGGGGTAGGGGGGGGGGGGGGGGGGGTGGAGCCTGGTCTGGACAACCTCAGAAATCTCCCAATAGAACCCTGTCAAGTGGGCACACAGACAACATGGTGAGGCTCCTGTCAACCTGTCTGGCTGCAGAAGTGAGTATGCAGTCAGCAGGACAGCTTCAAGGCAAAACAGGTTTTGGTAGCTGTGTAGACAAGAAACTAGATTCATCCAGTGGACTGTAGGGATAGCCATCAGAGGTGTGCCCCCGCTCCCCCGCTCCCCCGCAAGGCTTCCCTGTCAGCCTCTGGGTATCCAGGCTGACAGGATGATAGGAGCACTGCCAGTGTCGGTGGAACTTTACTCTCTCACTCTCTCATCTCTCCCCTTCCCTTCTTCCACCCAGCATGTGTGGCCACCGAGTCCCACCCCAGTCTATCATCCATTTCTATAGTGCGACCAAGTATGCCGTCACTGCACTGACAGAGGGACTAAGGCAAGAGCTTCTGGAGGCCCAGTCCCATATCCGGGCCACGGTGAGGCTGTGGTCTAGCCCTGGTGGGAATGGCGTGGGCCCAGCCCTCCCACCTGCACATACATGCCCAGGAAGGGTCAACCAAGTGCACATATCCTGGGCTCCTGGGCACTGCTGCTCCTTACAAGGACAGTCACCTCACTTCATTCACTCCAGAGCCAGTGGTCAGACTTACACTCTGAGTGGGAGGGGGCCGATTTGAAGGGAACATGGAGTGAGACGAAGGGAAATCACATACAATGACTGGAAACCAGCACTCTGGGCTCTTCGCTGGAAGACCACATACATGACTTGGGGTCAATCACTGAGCCTCCCTAAGCCTCAGTCTTCACATCTGTGAAATGGTATGATGCTTACCCGGTGTGAGGCTTTAAGCAGCACCAAGCAGCACCGCCTTGTGAAGCATTAACCAAACATGTAGGAACGGTTCTATATGTAGTATAGAGGTGTTGTGAGAGGTGCCAGTTGCAGGTGTCAGTGGTGACTTCGGAAGGAGGAAGACAGTTGAGGGCATGAGGCAGCTGCCATTGTGAATCAAGAGCCCTGTGGCCTCTATCCTTTCTCAACCTCCTCAAGGCCTGGTAAAGCTCAGGCTGAGCAGGCCCTCTCTGTTGGCCCAGTGTATCTCTCCAGGCTTGGTGGAGACACGGTTTGCCTTCAAACTCCATGACAAGGACCCTGAGAGAGCCGCTGCCACCTATGAAGACATAAAGGTGGGGGCCTTCTCCTGGGCTTTGTAAAGCCAGTCAGTCCTGAAGTCCCCACAGACTGATCTGCCTGGCTTGTCACTCCTGGAGGGAATATGGGTGTTAGAGTCCCTCTGAGGGGGGGAAGGAACTTGGGTCACTTCTGCCCTTGTCTCAACCCTTTCCCCCTGATGCTCTCAGTGTCTCAAACCGGAGGATGTGGCTGAGGCTGTCATCTATGTTCTCAGCACCCCCCCACATGTTCAGGTGAGTCTGGCCTTAGCTGTTCACTGGCTGGGAGAAGCAAGTGTAGGGGTGCCCACAAGTGGGCAGCAGGGAGTCATTTAGTGGGTGGCTGCCTCAAACCTTCTGCCTTCCACAGGTTGGAGACATCCAGATGAGGCCCACAGAGCAGGTGACCTAGTGTTCTGTGGGGAGCTCCTGCCTTCCCACCCTTCATGGCTGGCCTCCCGCCTCTGGATTTTAGGTGTTGATTTTTTGGACCCTGGATCTTACTTTCCTTATCCACTCCACTAGGGATAGAAAATTTGCCAAATTATTTCCATTATACATGTGAAAAGAAATGGGCTGGGGAGAGAAGGCATGGTCATGACTGTTTTATCTGCTGACGTGTTTGTTCTGAGTGCCCCTCTTGGGGCTCCTTAGCCTTTATTCTCCTCAACCTCTTCCTTTTGACCTAGGCAAGGGGATGTGGCCAAAAGGGGTTTATCTTCTTGCACCCTATCCTTTTCTCTGCCCCTTGGGGTTGGGGTAGAGACAGAACCTCATCTTTTACCTGTATAGTTCTACCCAGGGCTCCAGGCTCCCTTCCCAGTCCCCCACCTCTCCAGTCCAATTTTGGCTCTTATCCTGGGGTCACCACTGCACTCTGACCATGGCTACAGAATACCAGGGCCTGTCCCAGCTTACATTTCACTGTAACAATTAAAGAGAAAGATCGCAACCTACTCTGGTTTCAGAAGTGTCTTCCATTTTTTTTCTCCTTCTTGGTGATCAATGTGGTTGTGTCTCAGAATTTCTTCTGGGTTAAGTGGGAAGGAGGTGGTTGTATTTGGAGCATCACTTCTGGATTGGGAGCAGGAGATGGTTGGTGCCAGGGCCAGCCAAGGATACATATGTCTCCAAAAAAAAAAATGAAAAATAAAAACCAAACCCATAAGTTAGTAAGTAAGTAAGTAAGTAAATAAGGGCTAGGAGAGGACTCAGCAGTTAAGAATGTTGGCTGCTCTTCTGGAGGAACTAAGTTTGATTCCCAGAACCCAAATGGTGACTCTGCATCCTCTTCTGGTCTTCTGGGGCAGCAGGCACACATGTGGTGCACAGCGATACACACATACAGTACACCTACACACATAAACAATGAAAGACTTGAAAAATAAAATGGAGCCTGGCATAGTGGTGCATACCTTTCATACCAACACTTAAGAAGCTGAAGCAGGGGGATCGCTCTGAGTTTGTGGTCAGCCTGGTCTAGATAACAAGTTTTAGGCCATGCATGGGGACAACTTAGTGAGATGTTGCTTTTTAAAAAAAAGTTTAAAAAGAAAAAAAGCAAATCGATAGGCTGAAAAGAATTAGTAGGGGCAGTGAGCAAAGGAATCTCAACATTACCATAAGCCAAGAGCATCAGTTGCTTGTCAACAGAGACCCGCTGCAGTGGTCCCAAGACGGGAAATATCGTTGGGGTTCTGCAGGCTGGTGCTAAGAGTCTGACAGGATAAGCTTCTGGCGAAAATTCCCAGATGTGATGAGAGAAGGCATGGTCATGACTGTTTTATCTGCTGACGTGATTGAACAGGATGGCCAAACCATCGTCTTAAATTGGTTTTTGCAGGTGAGTAAGTGAATGCAGCTAGCCCAGCCTCCTGACAGCTCCCCTCACTGGGAGCAAACCGAGGTAGGGTCCGGTAGGCATCAGCATAGCCTCTAAGCTCGCCCGTGGCTGTGCTGGTAGTGCGAGCCGTTCCTGTAGGGGGTGCGGTGGAGACATAGTTGTGGCCAAGCACGCGTGTGCGTCATCGGGCCGGGGGCCGGGCCTCCGGAACCCGGAAGCTGGGGACTCACGTGGGAGTCTGGGAGGCGACTGTCTCGGCCTGGGTGTCAGGTTGTGGACACTCTTTGAGCGGGGAACTCGGGACTGTTTGTCCTAGGCGAGGGGAACGAGGAGTGGGAGACCAACGAGTCCTCTGCATCCGTCTGTTAGTGGAGTCCCGGGCGCAGTTGGAGCTATGCGACTGCTCTGGACGGTCGGGTGCTTCGGTATCCTGACTGCCCGTCATTTCTCCCCGGTGGCGCGCCCTGGCGGGGAGGAGCTGAGCCGCCTGCTTCTGGATGACCTGCCGCCGACCCAGCGGCTGGAACGTCTGTTCGGCCTGTCCCCGTGCCTCCTGGCCCTGCGGGCCGCCCGCCGGCGCGTGGCCCGGCTCCTGCTCCAGGCCGGTAAGGCTGGGCTGCAGGGGGAGCGGGCCGAGCTGCTCCGGGTGGCCGAGGCGCGGGGCATCCCTGTCCTGAGGCCCAGGCGGCAGAAACTAGATGCCTTGTGCGGCCACCAGGTGCACCAGGGCGTCTGCATGGAGGTGAGCCCGCTGCGGCCTCGGCTTTGCGATGATGAGGCGGCAGAGGCGAGCCCGGGCGACGACCCTCAGCAGCTGTGGCTCGTCCTCGAGGGGCTCCAGGATCCCCGGAATCTAGGGGCTGTGCTGCGCTCCGCTCACTTCCTCGGAGTAGACAGAGTCATCACCAGCCGGAGAAACAGGCACGGATGTCCCTTAGTTCCCTTTGCGCCCAGTCTGGAGGCGGAGCCGAGTTCCTAAGCGCCTCCGGGCAATCCCTCGTCCAGTGCTCCCGGTTGAAGGGAGTTCTCACCCCTAAACCCTTGGGAGCCCGGGGGTGTGTAGGGCGCGGGCCTTGAGATTGCCGGGGTTTAACGCGGATCGTGGGGAACCTTTGCAGCTGCCCGCTTACTCCAGTGGTCAGCAAGGCCAGCGCTGGGGCTGTGGAGGTGATGGACGTGTTCGCCACGTCTGACTTAGCCGGATTTTTGAAGGTAACGCGGGACGAGAGGGGGAAGAGAGGTGATGAGTCTAGTTCAGCCTCTT